GCCGTGGTGGACGCTGCCGGCAGGGTTCTGGGAGAAGCGCTGCGCTCGCAGAAGGAGGTCCATCTGCAGTAAGAACATCCCGCTCTTGCCTTCACAGCGGTTTAGGTGTCACTCCGACTTGTCACGTCATCCAGATAAAAGCCTTCTCCAGAAAACTAAGAAGCGGGCAGGTGTAAAGACCTACCCCTCGGGCCACAACACGGTCTGCCTGGGGGACAACCGAGGGCAAGGCAAGAAATGCTGGGCCTTCAGGAAGTTTCCTCCAGTATTTTCTTTCAAAAAGAGCCAGGTTACTTGGCTAGCTTGAATTAGACATGAAATCACGTACTAAAGAAGGGCAAATTCCCTCCTTTTCTGACCTCCCAGTGATAATCGTGCTGTGCTCAGTGCCTAGATGCCCTTTCCCCTGAGAATGCGTGAAGGAAAGAAGGCAGGCTATGGTGAGGTCGAAATCTCATTCGGTGCTGTTCTCGTAACACAAATCTATTGTAACCCTTTGTTTTCCCTAGAGCAGGCGGAATAATTCCCGTGGTGGCACAGCAGCTTCACAGAGAAAACATCGAGCAAGTAGTCAAAGAGGCCCTCGGCGTGAGCGGCATCGCCATAGGCGACCTCGCAGCTATCGCGACCACGGTAAAACCCGGCCTTGCACTCAGCCTTGAGGTGGGGCTGCAGCACAGCTTGGACTTGGTGAGCAGGTACCAGAAGCCCTTCATCCCCATCCATCACATGGAGGCTCACGCGCTGACGGTCAGGCTCACGCAGCCTGTGGAATTTCCCTTCTTGGTGCTTTTGCTCTCCGGAGGCCACTGCATCTTGGCAGTGGCACGAGGAGTTTCAGATTTCCTTCTGCTCGGACAGTCCATAGATATAGCCCCAGGGGACATGCTGGATAAGGTAATATTTCCTTACAGAAGCAAGTTTTTTCTCCTTTTGATTGTAGTTATACTACATGATGGTAATAGTCTCATCGCCCCTAGGACAGTCATACAGTGCAACGTGAGCTTTATTTTCTTCTTTTTTCTATTTTGAAATACCATAGATTTAAGACACAAGAGGCTGTTAAAAATCTATGCCTAGCGTTAGTTGTAACATTTGTAAATTAATTACTTTTTTAGCAAAGGGACAATGGTGTTGGCAGTTTCATTAACACTGTTGTACAAATGAGTTGTATGCATTTGAGAAGATTGATAGTGATAGTTTAAAGGTCAGATTTCAAATGATATGTATTAAAACATTTCTTACTGGTTGTTTGGTTTTTTTTTCATACAGTTTGAAAAGCCTGGTTTGTCTTTCAGAATCTCAGGCTCTCCAGCTCACAGAGTACAGTCTGTAAAACCGGTCGCTTACAGCTTTGTTCTCAAACACAAGCAGAGCTTTTAAACAGTATTTGTTTGTATTAATTAAAAAGTGGAGGAGTGATTGAAGTCAGAAAGAGGATTGTTGAAAGTTGGAACCAACCTTGTTCCAGTTTGCCTGGTAATACAGACAGTCCTTGTGTCTTTCCTATAGCACAAAATTTGGGTAATTAATGTTTCCTGCCAAATTTGCTGATACTCGTCTTGCCCAAATTGTTCTAGAATTGCATTTCTAATTACTACTCCAGAAAAAAAAATCCAAACAATCCAGCTGGCATATGTCTTGTCCGTGTTCATAATTTCACCTTGGCTTGGAATTGTAGAATTGGATTTCATGGTGTCTAATTTTACCCCAACAGACTACGCCGCAGTGGTGCAGCCACAGGAGGAATTAATTTAGCGCTCTGTCCCAAGTCTGTTGTTCATTATCTCCTCAGGTAGCAAGAAGACTCTCGTTGACAAAGCTCCCGGAGTGCTGCAGCATGGCTGGGGGGAAGGCGATCGAGCACTTGGCTCGAACTGGAAACCGTCACCAGCACCTGTTCCCGCTGCCCATGCAACAGTACCGCAACTGTGACTTTTCTTTTTCTGGCCTTCAGAACCTTGTCAATAAGGCCATTGCGCAAAAAGAAAAAGAAGAAGGTATTTTAAAACCAAGTCGGATCTAAAGCCCATTTTTACTGAGCTGCACTCGGATAAACCCATCTGCTGATGCGTTTTTATAGGTATCAGGGAAGGTGAGATCCTGTCCTGCGTTAAGGATATCGCTGCTGCTGTTCAGCACACGGTGGCTGTTCATATTATCCAGCGGACGTACCGAGCCATGCTGTTCTGCATCAAAAATAGCCTATTGTCGTCAAAAACTGCAACTTTGGTGGGTATACCTTTTTTTACCTTTTTACACTTGACTGCATAACACCATTGGAAGGTGCAGATGCCTTGTACTTTCTCCCTTGACATGTGAGGAACATGTCCGTATGACATAATTAAAATACCAGGCTTACAGTAATATTTGTATAAATATTTACAGTAAAATCTGTCATAGTTTGGGTTTAAGATAGCTGGCAAGAAAATCTCTAATTTGACTTTCTGTAACAATGCAGGCCACATAATTTGACCTGGTGCTCTCCAATACTTGACCGCTTTGCTAGTCATAGCATCCAGGAATCTCTTTTAGCACAATCGGCTCACTTAGTGCAGTCTTGTGATACGCTTTCATCTTCAGATGAGATTTTAATCTTCAGATGGCGCTGTTTGTTGCCTCCTTCAGAACTTCGTCCCGTAACCTTTTTGAAAAGGTTGGATGTTGGTTAAGTGTGACCCATCAGTAGTTTTGCCTTAATGCCTTTTTTTTTTTTTCCTTTTTGAAACTGCTCTTAGGTTGTATCAGGAGGAGTTGCAAGTAATCAGTACATCCGAAAAGGTCTGCAGGCTTTGGCAGACGCAAATGATTTTGCTCTTCTGTGTCCTCCTCCGAGACTGTGCACTGATAACGGGGTTATGATCGCGTGGTAAGAGTTGTTTCTCTCTGCCCGCGTTTCTGTTACGCTCTTTAAAAGTTGACGTCGGAGGAAGGGGTTTATGTTCATGGTGACTGAACCACACACACACGTACATTTTTACGTAATCGCTTTCTCGCTTAGGAACGGCATCGAAAGGCTACGCGCGGGACTCGGTGTTTTACATCGCCCCGATGGCATCCGCTATGAACCCAAGTGAGTGACCCGATTCCTCCTTTCTTATTCACTGCGGCCAGTGAAAGCAGAAGGTGTAAACTAAGAAAAGGAGTAGAAGCCAGTGAGGAGCGTCTGTGCAGCGCACACACAAGTTACTAGCGCTTCCTTTTCAATATAGTTGTGAAATATGAACAATCGTGTCCGGCATTTACGTTTGTTTTGGCTCAGAAACCTCAGTTCGCACTCATCACGCCAGGCCTCTGCATTTTCCTGTTACTGTCATGGTTTGGGAAAACGGGAGCGAGTGAAGCTGGAATGTGCTCCCCCCCAGCTTCTCAGTCACTGCAGACATAAATCAAAATGCTCCAAATCAAACTGGGTGTTCATAATGAACACTGACCTAAAAAAAAAAGAATTTGACATATAACACCTGGTAATACTGTGGGGTTTGTTCTTTTGATCTTTTTTTAACGAGTTGTTCTGTGGTTTTAAGCAGATCTTTGCCTTAAGGCCAAACAAGAGTCTCCTATTTCAAAAGTACCAGCTGGTCTTTGACTTGACATTTTTGTCAGGATTTTTTTTTTTTTCCATTTCCAGCCTTGGAAGGTCTTGGTGGGGAGGGGAACAATAATTTAATTTCCACATGACAAATTATAAAGTCCTCTTCCAAAATAAATTGCTTTATAAGTCTTAGTGAATAAAATATGTTTTATTTGCTGTAGACTATGCATTACCTCAGACAGAGATACCTGTGAATCTCTAGCAGGTCTTGCATTCATCAGTAAGATGTGAATCAACTAAAATCAGAATAAAACAACATCCCCAGGAGATGGCTTTGAAATCACAGCAGCGTTAGGAATGCCTATAAATGCAAACATTTCCTCAGCGTAAAGGTATTTCTCGGCACAGCTTCATTTTAATGGTCACAGTCTTACAGGGCAGGGAATCTGCAAAACTCCTGTGGCTCCCATCCTTGTGGTAAAAACACTCTGTGAAACCTGCACATCGATGTGATACAGCAATATTGTTGGTTTTAATGGATAATTTTATTATTTTCCAGAGCTCCCCTTGGAATTGATATTTCAAAAAGAGTTGAAGAAGATTCCATCAAGGTGCCAAAACTAAAAAAGAAGATACGATGGCTGACATCTTAAAAATTCGCCAAGTAAATGCAACTATAAATCGTTCAATAAAAACTGATTCAATGCGGTTACATTCACTGGCAGTACATGGTTTACAGGTGTTGAAAATCACTTGGCAGATGAATAAATGCTGTGTAGTATCACCAGGATTATTCCAGTTCCTGTTCCACAAGCGTCTAAGAGTTCTAGATACTAAACCAATATTTTCTTTAAAAAAATGTACTAACAAATATAAACGGAGACAATGAAAACACCTCCATTGTTTGCATTTTATAACTTACATGTTTACAGATTTATCACATATACCCTAGTGTAATGTAACAATATAATATGTAAGTCGTATAAGACTTATCGTTTACATCTTAAACAATAAATAAATCATACCTTCCGTGACTGCAAAGTCACAGGAAGTGAACAAGAGGGAGCACAGATTTTCAAGATCTCCAGGGGTCAGCTGTGCCAGTGCAATGGAATTTCAACAGTACCTAATTTTCCGCTGCTGATGTGAGAAGCCTATTCTTAATTACAGTAATTTAAAATTTGGGGGTACAGGGCTAGTGCCTTTTAATTTTCTCCTTTTTTTATTTTACAAACAGCTCCATAGAGCTAATCACCGCGCGGGCGGTTAAGATGTGAGTTCCGAGTTTTGATGCGAGTGATGGGTTATCTGACCTCCCTTCTGATAATCAGTAGAATATGCTTCTACATTATTATTCATTGCAATGGTATTTAAGGGAATAAATACTTCAAATCTTAAGCACCTCTTCAGTAAGTTTTCTAATTCATAATGTGCATGTTTAAAACTGCCTCCATTTAAATACTAACAAGTAATGGGGAGTTGCGGGACAGTTACAAACAAACTGCTTGCCTGGGTTAAATTATTTTTTTAACTTGAGGGCAAGATGTAACAAATTACCACAGTACATACATTATTATTATTTCTCCAGTACTTAATTTCTGGAAGAAGGTTAAGATCCCTCCTTGAAGAGAAAGCATTGGAAGAGTCATTAGTATTTACATTGTATTACATAGCATTTCGGGAGTCTCGTTTTCAGGGCATTTCAACTAAAAGTAATTTATCTTTTGGTAATTTATCTGTATCTATCTTCTTGTACTAGTAATACATCTTTTGATAAATGTGACTCTCACATTTCGTAGGCTCTACCCAGCGGTATACTTCCGTGTCTCGCTCACAGATTTCAGCATAGGTGAAAGACTGGAATTTGTAAAACTAACGCTGAGCAAAACCTTTTTTTTTTTTTCTGTATTACACCCAATCTCTCGATTTTCCTGGTTTTTAGTGCTGGTCATACCTTCTTAGGATCAAGCCAGTCAGCCCCATGCTCAAGCCTCTCCCTGCCTCCTCCTGGGAAGGAAGAAATCCCTGAAGGGCTGTGTTTTGTGAGGCAACTAAGTTTCTCTCATCTCAATTATGTGTTTGAGAGTTTACAAAGCAAAAATCTTTTTTTTTTAAATTAAAATATGCTTAAAGCTCTTCCAAAACAGATCCATGGGAACCTTGAAGACTTTGTGAAATATTTAAGTGGAGATGTTACAAGGAATTCGAAGTGCTATCACAACAATTGCCTGGCCTCTCTCGGTAAATCAGATGACACGCTTGGTTGAAAATCTCCGCTCAGTGAGTAGTTACTGATGGGCTTTTGATGAACTCTGAATATAGACACAGGTCTTGAAAAGTTTGTTTCAATGTTTCATTCTATACGTTTTTTTGATTTGTGGCTGCAAACCGTAAGAACAAAAGGAAGGGGTGAAATTGCCGTTTATACGGTTTTGAAAGCAGCTGATAACACGTCTGAAAACCTTGCAAGTAGAATGATCTTTGTTGATGAAAAAAAAAAATCAACAGAATAAACCCCAGGAGAACAGTAGTACCCTTAAAGATAAGTAAATACAAAATATTAACAGAATAATGAGGTAGGTTGGTAGGACTGTAATCAAATCAAATCTAACCTGAGTCGACAACATAGTGCTAAGAGAAGCATATATCTGGTCTTCATTTTAGGAATATCATATAGCGGACAAAAAAATACAGGGTTGGGTTTTTCTTTGCTGCAACAAAACGCTGACTAAAACAATGAAGGTGATAACACTGAAGAGCTCTTGGTCTATTAAAATGTGTTATATACCCAGTGTTTACACAAAACGCTGACTAAAACAATGAAGGTGATAGACCAAGAGCTCTTCAGTGTTATTAAAATGTGTTATATACCCAGTGTTTAGTTGTTCTTTTTTGCAGAAGGATTAAAGTATTCAGTTTAATTTGCAGAAAAGGCATAAAAAACCATTAGGAAAAGCTTTCCATTTTAAGGAAGGGAAGTAAGGAAGGGTGTAGATTCCACAGTCACTGTGTGTTGTATATTAAAAGAACTGTTAGAATGTTCTGCAAATACTTGATTCTTCCCTCAGAACCGGGCTCTGGAGCTCCCTTTCAGCCCCACAGCGCTGCAACGTGCACAAGATATTCAACCCACCCTCGAGAAAACCCATAGGACGCAATCCTTTCACATCCCTTCAGGAGGCATTTTGTTTTTCAAGTCTGCTCAGTCACTGCATCAGTCAAACCATTGGTGAGATTTTAAACCTGGAACTAATTTAAGCTTGAAATTCTTCCTGCAATATGTTTGAGTAAGTCTTAAAGTAGTACAACGGAAAACAGTGACTTGGACTTTGATGCGTCTGTAGCAAAACAAGTTTTCTCACTCGAAATAATACAACCACTGCCTCGTATAGGACATTTTAAAGTTTTACAGTGCCCAAAAAAGGAAAAGAAACCTCCAGCCAGTCTCAGATTGTTTACAATTTAAGCCTTGGTTTTACAGGGCTTTTGCAGCAATATTTTTCACATGCTTGAATTTAGAGCATCGAAAAAACCAACTTCTTTCGACGGTGCATGCTTTGCAACTTCAGAAGTAAAAGCAGCAGAGCTAAAACTAAAAGGAGAGGCAGCAAGCTAGGGAGCCAACGAGGGACAAAGAACAGCCTGAAGGGAACCTCCCAGTTTCTCTGCCAGCAGATGCAGCCCCCAGCTGGGGACCACCAACCAACCAAGCCCTGCGACAGTGGCCAAGGCTGCTGGGACAGCCCCAAAACTCCCAGGGGGTGTGGGAGGCATCTGTTTGTCAGGTAATGAAAGGGCAAACATGATTCTCCAAGAGGCGACAAGGCCCGAGACCCTCAGCTCTTTGGCAACCCAGGCCAGCTCCTCACCGCCCCCTCCCTTCTAAAGCCATAACCCGAACCCTCCCCTAAAGCAGAGCTGCGTGACCAGCCCTGTCCTACAACAAAATCTGCTGTGCTGAACTCAAAATAGGTGACAGATCAGACAGACTCACCGACATCGATCAGGGAAAGTATGGGAGAGGGGAGGGAGGGAGGGCTAGCCTCTCCTCCCCAGAGCCCAGTATTCCCTTCCCCACCAAGGACACGTTCCTATTGAGTCTCTAGTACAAGCACACATCTACACGGATTGCTTTGACGATTCGTAATAATGTTCAAGTGTGTAAAAGACCAGACCAAGCATTCTAAGAAAGGAAAACTCCAAAAACTTTACTCATTTTGCATATAGAGTAAATGCAACATCTCAACATGTCGCTTTACAACTCATCCACTGAAAATAACTTCAGTCTGCTGCACGTGTCAGACGCTTTTTCGCTGTTGCTCTCTAGTTTTGCGATCCGGGATCCGAACTGTACAGCCCTTTTTGGCAAAACGGTCGAGGCTGTAAGGCCAAGCTCCTTGGCTGCAAGGCGCAGAATCAATTTCTCACCGATTCCTCGAGGTAAAGTCAAGTCAGCTTTTTCCGAGACGGGCAGAGAGTTGAGGAATGAAACAACATGTTCATCAAGAAAAGGAAACCTAAAGGAAAGAGATACACAGGGAGTGACCCTTTTAAAACTTCATACAGCTAATCTTGGTTTTCCCCTTTACCATGTGCAAAGACTTCAGTTTGCTTCAATTCCTAACTACAGATGTACCTTAAATGTTTGTGTCACACGACTGAGGCAAGTCTCCAAAGCAGTTACACTGTCTTGGAGAAAGAAAACATAATATATTATGGTTTGGAGTATTTGTGATGCATACGACATTATTTTGGTGATTTGTCCATGCACTGTTTAAACTCAGGAGCCTGGAAGTTTTCAAAATACAAAGAAAGAAAAGAGTAAGAACAAGCAAGTAGTAATTAAGAGCGAGTAAGAAATGCTGGGTTTATAAAACAAAAATTAGAAGGAAATCAGAAAACACAACAGAAAAGCCAGACACATTTTAAAGTAACAATTCTCAAGGTAACTTCCAAGTCTTTAAAAATACTGTATGAAGCTGCAATGTAACTTTGGAAGAAAAACATTTACACCACACATCTTGACAACATTCCCAATTCCAGGCATTTGTATCTAATCCTAAGCATAATTAACAGCGTTGCCTGTCCACCACTGCCCCTGCTAAACCGAAAACGTGCAACTAAACAGATTTAAAAAAACAAGATCACGTGAAAAGACCTTTCATGCACCTGAGGAGCCTCTCTGACTGGACACCACCTAAAGAATTCTTTGCAAGTTGGTGGTAGCAGGGAGGAAGTAAACACAAAAAAAAAGATTTTTTAACTCTCCTGACTTAACAACCAGGAAACACAGTGGATACCGATCATGCCTTTTTCACAGGGACCACCAGAACACTTCCAAGTTGCGCAGAAGACCGTTCCAATTAAAACGGTAAAAATCAACTTGACTTTGACTATTTCAACATCTGTTGCTGCTGCCTGAAAGTTCCAGGTAGAAAATCAATATTCAAGTTGCCAAATTTTCTTAAGTAACTCTTCCACAGTACTTCTTCAAAAACAAGACCAAAAAATCTGATGACACAGTTCACATTAACGGAACTGCATGAGAACTTAGAGACAATCAAATGGAGAGACATTTCAATTAAGCTTTCTGTTACAAGTGTTCAGAGAATCTAACCTGCAAAACCAGTTTTACTTTATGTCAAAACAATACCTGGCTTCTTTTCCATGATCACCAATAATCCTGTCATCTCTGCCAAGATTTCTAGAAGAGATACGATTCAACTCCATTTCAAGTTCTTTATTCAGACCCTCTAAGCCATATTTTTGGAAGGAAACACGATGTCGAGAATACCCAGCAAGCTGTTCATCGGCTCCAATTCCTGTAAGCACAACCTAAGAAAACCGAATAAAAAGAAATCTTTCTTAGCATCTATGCAAGCAAATAACATGTAACAGATCTTAAATGTTTAGGGGCATCTTAAAGAGAATAATCTTAATACACATCTTCTAAATATATTCCCTATCATGATGGGATGTGCCTTACTCATTTACAGAGCCTGGTAATTGCTCTGGAAACTCGAAAAGAGGTTCACAATCAGAGCTAAAAGTACACACAAACATTTCTACCGATGCACGGAAAAAATCACCAAAATAATGTCGTATGCATCACAAATACACCAGTAGCTTTGACGACTGCTAGTTTCTATTGCAATGAACGGTATTTGTTAAACACCAGCCTTTATCAAAAACACGGTGGCCGGGAACAATTTCACTTTATGTTTTATTATCTCACAGCCCACTTCAACATATTCTGGACCTAAGATGAATTTCTACATTTTGTACATCCTTAAGTAGACCACTCAACTAAATCAGCTGTGTTCTGCAGTAGTAGTTTTTAAGCAAACTATTGCATTTCTTGCAGGTTTTGTTGTTGGCAGTTTTCCATGGTTTTAGGATCAAGCAATTAGTAGGAAAGTAATAGAAGCCTTGAAAAGCAAAGGCAGCACTGGATTGCAAACTTCTGAAGTTAAATAGTTTATTCTTCCATACCCAAATCGTCAAGAAACTGGAAAGTGAAAACTAAGAATCAAATTCCCAAGAAAACCATCTAGTTACTACAAAGCTTTTACTTAATACTACATACATGAAAAAAAGTTAGAAAAAGGCAAGAACTACTTTTTGTAGTTCTGCCATTCAGTCAGATTCTAATTACAAAAAAATTCCGAGTAGTCACCTTTTTTTCTGCCATTCTTACTTGCTATTTTGTCACATAAATAGCATGCCTAAATCAGAAGCCAGTAATTTTACAAGGGCTGGCATGCTGGCACAAAACAATATCACTTAATCACTCATTAACCTCCAACTTGCAATTCGTTAACCTATTCAGTTTGGACTGAGTGGCTGTTACCTGCTACTGGAGTTGAAACACCAGCAATGATGGTTATTATTTTTTCACCTAGTGATAGTGTTGCTTATTCAGTCTCAAAGAAAAGCCATACAGATGGCATGACAAAAGAACGGAATGCAGTTCTTAACTCTAGAATTATACAAATTATCATTCCAGAACTACATTCTGCCACTGAATTTCAGAAGCCTCATCAATATCGAACCTGCTCATTTCTCAAACAACAGCATAAGGCACATCAAGCATAAGGCAGAAACCAATAAAATATCTGTACCTTTGCAGGACTTTTATATGGTTTCAGTTGTCCTTGGTTACTAACAAAACCCTCCCCTCTGGAAGCAAACCAAATTGCACAGCCAATGCTGTCATCCAAGACAGTATCCAGTGGATAAATTAAGTGATTAATGCATTGTTGTCTCATTTCTTTCAGTTCCTCCAGGGTAACATTAATTTCCACCAAGTTCCAGGTCCTGGAAGGGTTAATAGCTTCTAATTCTCTCAGTCCTGCCCTACCAGTGATTCTGTCAGGAACATCAAAGCAAGATAAAGGAGTACCAGTTTTAGCATCAAGATCTTGACAACTTCCTTGAGGACAAAGCAAATCAAGCTGTACTTCCTGGTGGGGATGTTTCGTAGCGGCATCTTTTTGCTTAGCATGTTCTTTTATCATGAAAGCTACGTTGAGAAGATCAATCGGTTCCTCCAGAGGCACATGTTTATCAGCAAGGGCTGCAACAACCATAGAATCAATGCCGCCAGAAAAGAGCACCGCAACATGTGCTTTCCTATTCGCCATGCTTGGAATTCCTCCTGTTTTCTGATCTTCATCTCTCACGAGAGATAAAACCCGTCTCTTCACCGCTTCACTTAAAACACCAATAAACTGACCGACTAATGTTTTCTTGCATTCCTCTGCGAGAAATCCTTGAAGGGTTTCTGTAGAAACCACGTTGCTAATGTTGGTGCCTGGATGTTTACGTGACACTTCCAAAATTGTTTTATTTAAGGGGATAACTGGCGCTCTGAGACACAGTTTTGATTCATTCATCACGAGACGTATGTGGTTCGGTAAGTCCTTCAAAACTTTCTCCAGAACACTGACGAATGTTTCTTCTACTGCTTCCTCTGTGCAGCTGTATTTCCATGGAAACAATGTTAAAGACAAAGATTTTGCTGTTGCACAAGCTTTGAGATCAATTTTGAAAATTCCAGATGCTGGGACTTCTCGCCATTGGATATCTATTTTGGAAGAAACACTTACAGATGTGAGACAGAAAGCACCGTCAACCTCATTGCCGAATTGCCAAAGCAAACTACGACGACCAAAATAATCTCTGCCAAACCATAAACTGTGTCTAGATGCTTGATAATAAATAAAAGACCATGGACCTCGAAGTGATGAAAAGAGTGACAAAATGTCGGCTTCGCTACGGCATAATGCAAGATGACCAAACATTACTTCAGTGTCATTCTCTAGAGCTCCTACGTGCACTCCATCGAAAATTTCTCCATTCCAAAGAAAAATATTGCTATTGGCATCTTCCAGGGGCTGAGGAGTCACCAGTCCCCTCAAGTGAAGTACGTGGCCAGAAAACAGACACTTGTAAGAAAGATCAGACACAGTTTTTAGCAACTGTTGGCTACTGTCTGGTCCTCTTCTTCTAAGACGGCAGAGTATGTCTTCGTTAAGGAAATCATTAACAGTATGCTGGCTACGCAAGGTAACAATGCAACAAATACCACACATCGTCACTTTGAAGTCAGATGGACTATTTCTTCATTTTCGTCTTTTCTGAATTTTCCATCTCCTGATGTGCCTTCTTTAATTCATCTAATGTGTCTGTGTAAGAGAAAAACATATGAATGATCAGTTTCATCAGCTGATACATTTATGAATGAGTGTATGAGTAGGTAAATTGAGGAGAATTTAGTAACTCCAGCCACTTATTCAACTAAAGACAGAAACACGAAACACTAAGTGCTATGTTTGCTTTGCATCAATACTATAGCTCACTATAGCTTATTCTTCTTTAATTATAAAGAATACGATTTTTTTTCCTCCCAAAGCCACACTACAAGTATAAGAATTAGGGGAATGGCCAACTATATAATCAATAGGATTTACACACTTGTAATAATAAGAAAAGTGAACTGTCAATTAAAACGTCAACACTCCTAATTCAAAGCAAAGCAAATGAAGCAATTGTTCATTCCAGAAAACAAATTTATATATTTTTAATGTCTGTTCAGTCATCAGCTCTCTTTACCATCCATTCTCCCATCTTCATAATCCCACAGATCCATTCTTTCAACTACCTAACAATTCCCAGCTTAACCTCCGGTTTAACTTGTCCCTATTTTCTACCTACTCATTCCATGCAATTTTTAGACTTTTTGTTTTTTTAAGGGACAAAGTGCTATACAGCTTCTCAATGGGCTCTGAGAGTAGTGCCTCCTCTCTGGGGCAGATGTTCTCTCTTTTCCTGCATCTATTTTACCCCATCCATAAATCAAAGGAAAACACTTTCACAAAACAAGCGTTTGAAGCGTACTTTGCATTTGATACACAGTTACCAGTTTTTTCATTTTTAATATACCTTTGAAATCATTAAGAGCTACAAAACCAGTTTTAAAGGGTTAACCGTTTGATCAATTGCAAACTTACTTTTGCATTGAGATAGTGTTTCTGCTCTGTCTACAAGGAAGAATATGTTGCTATTGGGTTGCTGCTTATAAACTTTCTGAAAAACAAAACCAACACTCCATGAAGTCAAAGCAACAAACTCTGGTAACCAGCTGCAGCAGAAGCTGATGTCAGTCCACCGAGACACCTCTTCACTTCACAGAAGTTAGCCAGAAGGCTGACTTCTGCCCTGACAATACCAACATTCTAACGTCGTACTATCAAAAACATTTCATGATCAACTGGTCTGCATTTCTTTTTTTCTCATACGTGAGGGATCACATTCAATTTTAAAATGCATACACATGAAAAGTGAGAATACTTCATGAAGTCTTCTGATCAACTCAAATATTGTGAAACAACTCAGATATAACAAAAAAGGCAAAAAACCTGCAACATACTGTGTTACACTGCAAAAGTGTAAATAATCAAATCTTTTGGAGGATAAATTATTCTAAGAACATCAGACCACATCTGTATTAAAATCTGTGTTAAAACAAATTAAAGACAGTGTGCTCCAACTCTGTTTCCCCTCTTGTCTCCATGCTTATTTCTCTGATGCTAAAATGAAATAGTCAAACAGCAAATTTGTAAATACTTACCCGGTTCTTTTTCAAATTAGAAAGCTCATCAACTACAACCTTCTGCTCTTTAATCTGAAAGGCAAAAGAAGCACTTTAATTTAATTTAAAAAAAACAAACCACTGTCTTACAATCCTGGTGGCGAACCGGTTTACAGAAATTTTAAGAGAGCTACATGCACGTATAGGTACTGTTCTCCAAATGGACCACTGAAGACCAAGTAGAAGTAGGTATAAAAATGAAATACTTAAAATTAAGTTATCTAGAAACAGGTTATCTTGCATAGATTGGTGTTTCCTCTCCTACCCCCAAAAGCAATCGCTACTGCTGTAGTGTACCTCTAGCTGTTTATAATCAAGGATCATATTTTTTACCCCAGAAGAAAACCTTCACACATCTAATAAAATATAAATAACTTTGGAAAACAAAATTTAGCATAGTATCTATAAAATACAGTCTATAATCACAGGCATTTTTCAGATTACAAATGAAACCAATAAAAACTTAAAACTCCTAAAACTGTAGAAGCCTTTCTGTCACTCTGTCACAAACTTCCTCGGTGGGGTTTATAACTCTGTTCGACTGCACTGGCAGAGGTAGCAGGTATTCCTGTTTTCTTTTACAATGACAGCTGTCAATGCTAAGGAACCATCAGGAGGAGCATCATAAAAGAAAAAAAATAGAACAAAATCTGGTCAGCAAGCACTTTGTTTAGAAACAAACAATACACATCTCCTGGAATTGGTAGAAAGCTGCCACGGAGCTAGGTTAGCCAAAGTGAACGTGGCATACAGGAAAACTAAGTCCTCCAGCTACTACATCAATGTCTTGTGTTTACAATTCCAACAAAACTGCAGCAGTGTCTCTTACTATGGACTAAACTTATGCTCCAGCATAATAGAAATAACAACCTGCAATACTGTTATGAGGATGATTGAGGGACTTGAACATCTCTGTTGTGAAGAGAGACTGAGAGACCTGGGGCTGTTCAGCCTTGAAAGGAGACGGCTGAGAGGGAATTTATTAACTTACAGAAATAGATGAGGGGTGGGGGTCAAGGGGAAGGGGACAATCTCTTCTCAGTGGTGCCCAGCAATAGAACAAGCAATAATGGGTTTAAGTTGGAACATGGGAAGTTCCACCTCAATATGAGGAGAAATCTCTTTATTTTGAGGGTGCTGGAGCCCTGGCCCAGGCTGCCCAGAGAGGGTGTGGAGTCTCCTGCTCTGGAGACTTTCCAACCCGCCTGGATGCGTTCCTGTGGGGCTGCCCTGGGTGACCCTGCTCTGGCAGGGGGTGGCACTGGGTGATCTTCAGAGGTCCCTTCCAGCCCCCAACTCTATGAGTCGATGCCTCCATCTTTACAGCTTCCGAGGCACTCAGAAACACCTCTCTGACTTTAGACAAGGCCCCTGTGGAGAGGAAGTCCTGTTTGGAGAGGAAGTATTTCCACAGGACTTGACAGATTTCATACTAAGCAAAGCTACCGGCACCAGAGAAAAGAGAGATTTAAGGAGAGCGACTCAGGCCTCCGTGACCAAAACCCCTTGAGACTTTTTCCGCAAACACAACCTCACTGTGCCTC